TCACTTTGAAAAAACGTGCTAGCTGAGAGGAGTTTCGTCAAAGCTGACTAAAGTGGTCGAGGATGGATCATTTCGACAAACTTGATGAACAAATTTGATTGATATATTCTTCAGGGCGAAAAAGGAAAATAAAAGCTGAAACGTTTTCATATATAAATTATAGACTCTGCCTCAGTCGAATCATCTAATGTATACTGCATACAAAAATATAGCAAGAACTGGCTGAAAGCATCTGTCTCTATCTGACTGGCTGGCTTTATGCAATTTCTGGGAGTCGGGGTACACATACTTCAACTCACCTGCCTGGAAGTTCCAAGTATACCTAGTAAAACACTGATTAGCTGGTTCAGGTGTGTTTGATTAGGGTTGGAGCTAAACTGTGCAGGACACTGGCCCTCCAGGACAGAGTCTGGTGACCCCTGCTCTAAAACATGAAATGTGGAGTTATCAGCTTTTGCCAAAAACGACTGTTGGAGTTATCTGCTTTTGCTATAAAACAAACTTTTAATATGTAAAAAAAAAAACATACTTTCAATGAACTTTAATTTAGTAAATTACCTGTATTTAAGTTATTATTACTTAATCAAAACAACCCAACTGCAGTTTGATTGATATTACTTGGAATGCGCAATAAAAAAAACGCGAGTTATCGTTTTTTGCAAATTAACTCTTCATAAGTAGACTTATGCTTAAATGCTTGAAAGCAGTTTTGTTGATGACATATGACTTGATTTTCTTTTAAATTAATTTGAATTTCTTTTTTTTTTTTGACTTGTTGATTTGCTGCTCACAAAACATTTAAAAATGTATTTAAGGAATTAATGGTTCACAAGAACAGCATTTATAGAAATGGAAATAGAAATAAAATAAATAAATCTTTCGTAACATTATAAATGTCTTTACTCTCACTTTTGATCAATTAAATGTATCCCTGCTGAATAAAAGTAATAATTTCTTTGAAGAAAAAAAAACTAACAAAAAAAAAACATTTGAACAGTACTATCCACCTTATTTTTCAACGCGGAAGTAAGCTGTTTTCTGTGAATGTCTGAGACTTCCGGTTCATTAGCCGCTATAGGGAAATAATGAGAAGAATAACAACATGCAGTAAACGGTAAAACTGTTTGCACTACAAACCAGTGTGTTCATAATTAAGATAATACATTAATATAATATGGTAAGACACTCCAATTTGCAATATCAAGCAGCAAAACGATCTGTTTTGTACAGCTAAAAATAGCTGAACACAAATGACACAGGAAGCCAGACACATTAAATTTACAAATGGCCACGCCCACTCTTATGGCAAAAATAAGGTGGATACATGTGAACACCTTCATTCCCATTCTTCAGTTGGTGTTATTTCTTTTGTAATGAATTTACTGTTATTGTAAAATGTTGACAGTAAAAATAATGAACAAGTAGGTGTGTCCAAACATTTAACTAGTAGTGTCAGTCTGGCAGAAAACAAATATACAGCTGCTAAAATCAGTGCTATGAAGACAGTGCTACTCTGTAGTTGTGACAAAAATAGCAATGCTAATGCCGTTTTGTTTGAGACAAAAAGTAAATATTCTTTAGCAAATATTCTTTTGTCTGATTCAGATTTATCCTCCAGAATTACCGGTACATTCAAATGTCACACAAACATCATGGTTGGGTCAATTTATAGCCCTTCTCTGGACGGTTCTTGGCCAGATTGAGATAAATGTCGGCAAGATTTTCAAAATTCTGACTGTTTGAGAGTAATGCCAGATTGACGTGCTGCCATACACAGAGAGGTCAGAAACACATGGTACACTGATGGATGAAGCTCAAATCTATCATCATGAATCATCATCCGACATTTGCGTTTTGTGGTTTTACCTGATTCTGACAGAGTATTCGTCCTCATTCCAGGCTCCTTCTCCAGCTGAACTTCTTGAAGTGCAAATATTGATGTAGCTGGCAGGGAGAAATTGAACAGTTATGTTAACACGTTGAACTAAAACTAAGGCTGATATATAATGTTAAGGGTCAGAAAATCTGTGCAAGCTTATTTCAGCACACGCTGACCTGATTCAGTGCAAATACAGAATAGCTCATAGCGGCTCGGTGGAATTAAATGTCTTTCAAAGTAAAGTGTGTGTATGTGTGAGACTTCTGTCTGGCACTTTAATAATTCTATCTGTCAGTGTGAGGTGTGTGTGTGTGTGCACATGAATCTGTTATCTGGCACCATCATAAATCTCCTCAGTGGAAGGAGGTGTGTGTGTGTGTGTGTACGTGAACTCACTGTCTGGCAGTGTGAGAATTCTCTCTCCCAGGCAGTGGAAGTATGGGTGTCTCATGGCTTCCTCTGCTGCGATCCGTTTCTTCCCCTCAAACTAAGACAAAGTTCAGTGTTAGTCAAGCACACACACAAAACGCTCACTAAATAACTGACTAAAAAACACAACATTATTATACACTATTATTCAAAAGTTTAGGGTAGTAAGAAATTAAGAAAGAAAGAGAGTATTTCAAATTATTTATTATTTTTTTGGCACGGATACAATAAATGGATCAAAAGTCAAAGTGAAAGAGGTTTATAAGACATTGTTACAAACGATTCTCATTTCAAATAAATTTCTTTTGAACTTTATATTCATCAAAGATTCTTTTAAAAATGCTTTCCACAAAGATATTAAGCAGCACAACTGTTTTCAACTGATAATTTCCTTCTCCAGCTGAACTTCTTGAAGTGCAAATATTGATGTAGCTGGCAGGGAGAAATTGAACAGTTATGTTAACACGCTGAACTAAAACTAAGGCTGATATATAATGTTAAGGGTCAGAAAATCTGTGCAAGCTTATTTCAGCACACACGACCTGATTCAGTGCAAATACAGAATAGCTCATAGCGGCTCGGTGGAATTAAATGTCTTTCAAAGTAAAGTGTGTGTATGTGTGAGACTTCTGTCTGGCACTTTAATAATTCTATCTGTCAGTGTGAGGTGTGTGTGTGTGTGTGTGCACATGAATCTGTTATCGTGCGATTTCCTGAAAAGTGCAAGCACTGTGGCTCAAACACAATCATCCCGACCAGTGGGGTAAGTTTGAGGTGGGACTTTCTTCATCTTTAACATTTCTATTTAAATTAAACTGACTTGAGCTGAATAATGACACTGTTGCTTTCTGTAGAGCTGCTTAAATGAACTAACTTGAGCTGAATAATGCCACTATTGTCTTTTTACAGCTGCTTTGGAACAGTCTGTATTATATGTGCAGTCTGTATTAATTGCTATAAGTAAACGTGACTTTAGTTGACTAAATAATACACAAATCACCTGCAGCAGTTTCGACAGAAGCTCAACTCCATCATTGTCCAACTTTACGTCTGTGACAGTAGTTCAGACCTCGCAACAGCTGAAACAGGAACAGCTGAGATGGAAAAAAAGCACACAGGTGAATATTAAGAACACCGTCTATGATTGCCATGTGCAGCAGAACGATTATGAGAAACAGAAATGAAAGACATTTGTCAAAGAGGTGTTTGAGAGAGGCGGGGCATAGAGGACCTACAATAATGTACAGTATTTGAAAAATAATGTGTTTTTTGAACATTAAAGCATGTCAACATATTCTGTTACACCAAATACACAAAATAATGATCTTTAAAATAGCATCATATGACCCCTTTAAAGTAATGCATGAATAAACAACTTACATTATATAAAACCTATGTAACTTACATAAAACTTATATTTTCGTGGGCAGGGATTCACAAACTTTTTTTTGTAGCCAAACCCGCTACTTAATATTTTTTAAATTAACAATTAACGATACATTCACATTTTCTCTGATGTTGGTTAATTGTTACATGACATGCAGGTCAACAAAAAAATATTTATTTATTTAGATTTTTAAATGTTTTATTTTTATTGTTTTTTTAAATTATTTATTTTAATTCTGAACTTAATGATTTATTAGCCTTTCATTTAGCTTTGTCATTTTAAGATCCTTGATTTTGTGCCAGATAAATCTGCTCTATAATTGAATTTTAAGCTGCTATGTAGATAGATATGCCATCCATAAATCATTTCAATTTAATTAACTACGTTTGTTTGGACAAGAGAAATTTGACTGTACTCTAACTACTTCAAATTATGAGCAGCATGCAACTTGGCAAGCTACGGTTTCCAAATAGATTCTCCAACGCTGTGTGTGTGATCATAAGTACAGTTAAAAAGTGTACAGAGTGCAGTGAAATACTACACATGCGAGTGACTCACCAAGTACTCGAACACGAGTGTAAGAGACTTCTGAGTGTGGATGATGTCATGAAGAGTCACAATATTGGCGTGTTTCAGGTCCTTCAGCAGAGACACTAGAGAGGCGCAGAAAGAGACAGATTATTCCTCAAACACATGACCTCTGGTGCTTCACACACCTTTATGAATATTCATTAAATGACAAGGACGAACAACAAGTTAGCCTGAAGCAAACATTACTGCAAAATATCATTTTTTCCTACACAAAATCAACCTTAAACAGACTTTTGCTACTGTACCTTTGAGACTGACGTGATGTGTAAATGATCTTAATTACGGTTTGCAGGGTGGCTGGTATATTATCCATATTATAAAACCCTTTTAACCAGCTGAAATACCATGTAACAAAAGCCGTCGATAGTGAATTTAGAGATTCTCTAGCTAATTTAGAACATCCTACATATAAAAGTACAAATGTCTGTCACTGCGCAAGCATGTGGGAAATTTGGGGCAGTAGTTTGGTGATCTAATTTTAGTGCTGATCCACTACGGCATGCTTGTAACTCACCTTCTCTAATGGCAGTGCACGGAGCTCCTTCCTCGTGCTCCAAACGGATCTCTTTCAGAGCCACCAGGTTATCCGTCAACTTACTGCGGCCTTTATATACTGTAGCGTAGGTGCCCTGAGAGAGAAAAAGATAACAATGCACAGCAACGTGATTATGCTGTTTTTGAACAGAGCAATTATGATAAACTGACTGTAAAGTTACCTCTCCTAGTTTATCCAGTTTTACATACGTCTCCAACTTCCCAAATCCAATCTCGGACTGCAAACACAAAGGCAAAAACTATGTCACAACATGGTGCTAAAAAGCATCACTGAAACAACATGGGGATAACAGGGAGCAAAAATTCAAAGGCATTGATGTGAACTCGTTAGAATGCTCCCATTTCAGACGGCTGGGCTGGTCGTAGAGGTTTATATAACACACATAGACAACATGAGCTAAAATGTCCCTCCCCAAAATAAATAGGGAACAATTGAAGTGTAACAAATGAAGTGTTTAAACGCATCACAGATCAAGCGTGTGTCAACAGCACTGAATAAACATCACAGTCTGGGTTTAAATGTCATATCAAGGGCAGCCGAACTCGTAGTATAGCATAATAATTATTTAAAAACATGATTTTTACATTTTGTCAAGAATACTCATCCCAATATGACTTATTTAGGACTCTATTTTGCATTGTGACTTTATTTACAGAAAAATTACAATTATTTCCCTTTCAAATTATCAGTAACTTAATGTGGGGAAAAAATCCATATCAGATATCCAAAATAATCATATATGATTTAATTAAGCAAGGACTAAATGCCTAATTACCTAATCATTTTTGTACTGAATTTAATTTATTGATTTAGTTAGTATTTTGTATTACTGTCTATATGTGGTTATATCTTTACGGTCTTAATTTTCATAAATAATGTTATAATGTAAAATAAAATGTATAAATGCAAAAAAGAAAAGAAAACCCTAATAATTCTATAATAAATAATAAAACTAGGCTTCAGTTTTATTTTGAAAAATAGAGTTGGTGTGTTCCTTTTTATTTTGGGGGTGAAATAGGACCTGGCCATTTCTTTGTGAGGCTCACTCATTTTCCTGTGACACTGTGCGACACTAATATTTTGAGAAGGTTTTAGCAGCGAGACATGCTGTGAAAGTTTGTCTTGTTTGTGCGTTCACAATGATTTCAAAGCACTGATAATGTGACCCTGAACAAACAAGACAAGTCAAGTAGAAGAGAAAAGACACTCAAAGAGAGAGAGTGACAGAGAATGAAAGATCGAGCAAAAGAATAGGTGGCAAAAGAAAACAAAGACAGAAAATGGAGGGCACGAGTCTAATTAATCATATTAAGCATATTTTAATTTGGCAAGTCCAAATTAAAATATGCTAAATAAATAAAATAAATAACTTTATTTGATTTTGCCAGGATCAAGGGCTATATTTCTGGAAAACTCGGGACTAATCTAAATAAAATAAATAAAAAAACCTTAACAATAATAATAATAATAATAATAATACAAGAAAAATAATGTCATAATATTGTTAAATTATTTCATGCAATTCTATTTTTACAAACAGAAATAAAAATAGATACAAAAATAAAAATAATGATATACAGCCTTTCAATTTGATATTTGATTAAAAAAAAGTTAATATCTTCTGGACACTTTTTTTTTTTTTTTTTAATGGCCCTTAATGGATTCACTTTGTATGATTAGTTATGGAAACATTCAATCATATTAAATGATGTTATGAAATGTTTTAGACTAGTATGACAAGGGCCACACTGAAAAGGTGAACAACCTCACAAATTGGATTTGAGCAGAAAATTGAGCACAAGCAGAGGCTGAAAAAAGGAAAGAGGTTTACAGAAAGAAAACCAATGGAGAGGCATTACCAGCGATACTCTGCGTAATCTCCGGCTGAGTGGTTTGTCAAACAGGGGGCTGTTGAGGCTGAATTTCTCCAGGTAGCCATCAGGAAGCCTGATATCGGCAGGCAGAGACAGACGTTTGTTTATGTCCTGAGAGGGAAGGAGGAGGAGGGGGGAACCATTATTAGTTAAGGCCTAAAGGTTTCGTTACACTCAATAACAGTAATAACCCATATAACTGATGTACCTTCAATAGCAACAAACAAGCTAATGGTTATTACGTGGTACACGGTTTAATTCAAGCAAACAAAACAAAAACAAAGCTAAGCCATGGAAAATTGCATGTTTTTATTACCAAACACGTCATGTGTTATTCAGTGTCCCACTCTAAAAATACTGACTACAAAAAAAAGTCAAGCATAGTCAGAAACGTGAACATACCTCTGTGGAAATTTTGCGACCGGGGTTGTTTCTCAGACGAACTCGGACGGGACTGTGCACCTCATCAGAGGATGTGGCCGAAGCCTGATCACTTTCTCCATCTGAACCCATTTTTACATCCTCATGGACGATTTCTACATTTACAGACACAACCACACACACACAAACATTAGCATGCTATGCCGACGTCACGATTCAGATGATACTGGTAAAATGTATTGAATAAATAAAATTTGATGTTTCTAAACGACTTCATTATTCTATTTTAAAACCAAAGTAATGCTGATGTATCATCTGTGAGCCTGCAACACTCTCCAAATGCATCTCTTGCACATTTATCGGTCTGTCTCTGATGCATTTATATGGCTCTGAGATTCTTACCACACTACAGCTGAGGAACTACTTAGCTGCTCTGAAAGGAGATCCGTCTCATACCCACACAAAAGGAAAAAAAAAATAGAAGTCATTATCTTCCACTCTCATTTATTCACTCACTGTCCCATCCCCCCCATTAAACCATAACACAACCTCCCACCCCCTCTCACTCCACACACACACACACACACTCACTCAGCCTGTCTATCCGTGAATAATAGTGCAGTGGTTCTCAACCAATTTTGCTTCAGGATGCAGATTTTACATTAGACATCAAGAAGCGACCCAGGCAAACCAGAATCATGAGTAGCACAAAATTAAACAAAAACGTCCTAAAAAATCAAAATGAATAACAACTACTTAAATAGGAAAATGTTTCACATTTCTCTTGAATTTTCAATAGTTTTATGCTCTTGGCAGCCAATAATTGATGCGGTTTAGGTTGTATTATGTTTTACTTCACATGTATTTTATTCATGCTTTGAGATGAGGGCATGTAAACCCACTTATTTAGTCTGCCTTTTATGTAGTGTCTTATAATCAATGCTATGATTTACAATCCCATGATTCATGATTATTTTATTTACATCATTACCTTTTATTTCTATTCTATTTTGCTTTATATTTTTGCTTAACAATTCTTAGTGTTAATGTCACTGCTTGTATTTTGTGTCAATTGCTTGTTTACATTTGCAAATTGCATTGGATTTGTTTGAAAGATGCTATAGAAATACATTTTGATTGAGTGATTGATATAAAGCAACTTCTGCATGATGTCTAATTTGGTTATCTTCTACCAAGTGACATTGGTAAAAATACGAAAATACTGTATTGTCTGATTGGATGCATGGCCTACAACAACAAAAGATATGGGAAATGTGTCTTTCTCCTTCTCTTGATAAGCAGACTTATTTTGCTCTCCTACTTATGTATAATTATATGGTTAGCTGGATTTTATCATTTGCATTTAACACAATTTTTCCCTGGGTTGCAATCCACCAACTGAGAACCACTGTAATAGTGTATGCGTCTATGCTGCATTTCACAAGAGTCCAGTTGTTCAGCAAGGTTGGGAATCGGAATCTCTGGGAAAAAAACGGTTTCTTTTTTTTAATCAAATATAATAAAATAATTTTATGACGTTCGGTTCCACTAAGAGTCTTGAAACTTCTGCATTCTTACATCGATGTGGACAGAAGTCCTATAACAAAAAATAAGAAACAAGCAAATTTTTTTTTTAAGTCAACATTTAATTTAAGCAAGCAGTCCATTGCTTTTTACAATTAAAATGTCACCTTTAAATGCACCTGTAAATGCAACTTTTCAAGATACACATGCTGTTTTGCAGGCGTTAATTGTATGAGATCATTTCATCAGAACAGTAATAACAGATCAGAAGCAACTGCACAATCAGAAACAAGTAGGGCTGTCAAAAAAAAATTTGAATTTCAAATATTCGTCAAATAAAAAAATTTAAAAATCAACATTCGAATGCAAAAACGTTGCATTCGAATTTTAGGTCTGCGTCAGCCGTCAGGCAGCCTTATCAGTGGCGCACGAAATGCGACGACAATGTAAGTGTCATTGCATTTTAATGCTTTTGTTAGCCTATCCAGTTGAACCAACTAGATGCAGCGCTGCTACGTTGTTCATTCAAAATATAGCGGAAAACGAGAGCATCAGTGTGGCGAATATGTTGTTTACGGCGAAACTGAAACCAAGCCGTTCACACAGAATGCATATTTATCACATTTTCTAGAGGGGCATCTATCAGCGTTACACTCGCGTCTCGCACAAGAGAGCAGCATGTTTAGATGTTTAGAATAATGTAAGTTCAACTTTTAAAAAACATGTCTCAAGACTTTATGGCAGTTTTCCCCCTAACTGAAATTATGCCTTTTAAATTAGAATATAATTCTAATTTTGATCATATTTAAATGGAAAATTCTAATTGAGTTTTTCAGTCATTTTGACAGCCCTAGAAACAAGTATACAGTTCTGGAAAAATATTATTGTATCTTTGCTGTCTTTATCCCTCCTAAACCTTGTGACTATGGGTTTAAAGGGATAGTTCACCCAAAAATTAAAATTCTATCATTTACTCACCTTCAAGTTATTCCAAAACTTTATGAATTTCTTTCTTCTGCTGAACACAAAAGATGATATTTTGAAGAGGTAGGTAGGTAGGTAACCAAACCGATTTTTTTTGTCCAATAGGGACCAGCACACATTCCCACATTCTTCACAAGGTCTTCTTTTGAAGCAGACGAAAGAAATTCATACAGGTTTGGAACAACTTGAGGGTGAGTAAATGATGACAGGAATTTCATTTTTGGGTGAACTATTCCTTTAAGACAAATAAAGACAGAGAAGTTGCTTTGTCATTACTGTTCTGCTAAAATTATTGCATTGTTTGACAACAGGCCTTCAAGGGAAGTGAATGCAATAACAATCATTAACTGAAGCGATAAGGAACACGGAATCGGAAACGAAGCCGTTAAAATTCCTTGCGATTCCCATCCCTACTGTGCAACCTCACACACATCACACTCTCGTCCTCTGTGTGCATGCGTGTGAATGTACCGAGGCGCGTGGTGTGGTTGAGATAGGAGCTGAGACTGCGTCCCAGGGTGCGTGGTCTGCGCAGGGCGCTGCTGTAGGACTGCAGGAGGGAGTGCATGCTGAAGGAACCCCCCGAACCTCTCACTGAACCCCGCAGACCACCACTGCCGCCAACTGGCATGGCCTCTGGGAGGGAGGAGAGGGGAGGAGGACGACACACAGAGGAAATGAGGACGAGGAGAAGGGGGGGAAGGGCAGAGAAGGAGCCGGGAAGGAGAATGTAAATGTGGCGGGACACATAATGGAATTGAGCGTTACAGATAGGAAAAAGAAAACGGAGCAGAAGTGAAAGGAAAAGGGGTGAATAAAGAAGATTAGTGTATTATGGAGATAAAAAGAAAAGAGGAAGTGGTTGGGAATGAGTGATATGGTTCGGATAAAATGGTAATATTGGGTAGCAAGTTTTTGCGATTAACAGAGAAGAAGGAAAAGAGAGAAAAACAAGGTTTGGGGGGAAAGGTCACAGGACGAGAAGGGAAAAAAAAGAGGAAATATTAAATTAAAAACAGAAAAAGTCCAATTTTAGAGCATGCAATCATTTTTCCAAAACTGTTATTAAAAAAAAAAAAAGATCAATTTACAAGGAACATCTTCAGTGTTAGTAAATGACGTACAAGGGCCACAATTATTAAGCAACGACACTGATAAATTCATTTTCTCGCTGCCGGTAATTGTTTCTAATGATGCTCTGCACTGTGGCGGCGATTAAAATGACACACAAGGGCATCGATTCATCTGCATATGAAAGCCAAATGCATTTCAAATTTGTGCAGGGTTTGGAGAAATGCCAGAACACACTACAAAAGAATGAGATGGATTTGCGGGGTCAATATGATGATGTATTTGCATATGGTAATTAGAATATATAGCATGTACATATATATTATCGACTTGGGTGAAACGGTTATGGAGATAGATGTCAAACTGAAGCGGTTTCGTTGAAACTGTCGGATCTGAGATGAGCAGGATCTGTCAGTGCAGTTAGCTCGAGATGGGAAGCCATGCTAGAAGACACATGCTGATTGGTTAGAGGGGGTAACAGCAGGCAGGAGACAGTAGCTTAGCGCAACGCACGCAGAGCCATAGCCAGTCCTTGGGTATAACGGATAGTAGGGATATGCCGGTATCAAATTTTCATGTTGCGATTAATTGCTAATGCTTTTATTACGGTATACGGTATTATCACGATATTGAAATTAAGTTTAAAAAAAAGAGTGCTGTCATAATACAGTATAACAGGTTTAATAACTTTTTTCTTATAACAAAAATAACTGAACATTTAAATGCAATAAAGCAATACAGAAAAATGTATAAAGTTAAAAGTTTTACACAGATTAAAGTGCAAAAGAACTATAAAGACCAATAGGTATCACTTTACAATAAGACCTCATTAGTTAACCTTAGTTAATGCATTAACACTCACAATGAGCAATAGCTACATTTGCTACAGAAATTATTAATCTTTGTTTAAAAAATACAAAAGTCTTAGTTCATGTTAGCTCATTAAACAACACAGCTGCAACTCTCAATTTTAACATCCTGTTATTAAATATTGGAATACCTAAGATTAATGAAAGTTCAGAAGAATTTTTCATTGGCAGTTTATGTTAACTAATGAATTAAATAATGTTAACTAATGAAGCCCTAATGTAAAGTGTGACCGAACAATAAAGAATCAAAACACTTTCAAACAATATCTAGGGTCTTAACTTTGATAAAGAATATCTCTTTGGTTTTGAGACTTTAGTCTTTGCAACTTCAGGGATCTTATCTATGCACAATCAGCTTGTAACACTCCAAAGAGAAAGGAAAACTTGAAATAGCATCATATGACCCCTTTAAAACTCATTTCGATGTTTTAATGCAATGCTTTAATGCTGCATACCCGTATAACACTGGCAGGCAACACGAAGGGAGGCAGAGGTGAAATTATATGCATTCAATGACGAATGGCTTAAAGGGGTCATATGATGCGATTTCAATTTTTCCTTTCTCTTTGGAGTGTTACAAGCTCTTGGTGCATAAAGAAGATCTGTAAAGTTGCAAAGACTAAAGACAGTTTTTTGAACCTAGAAGAGTACAAGGCTGGCTGTGCACAAAG